ACCGTGCCGGCGCCCGTGCCCACCACCATCTCGGTGCCGTCCGCGATCAGGTACAGCGCCGTGACGCCCTTGCTGTACAGCTCGACCGCGACGCCGCGTTTCTTGCCGTCCGGGTGCTTCGCGAAGCATTCGGCCAACGTGGGCGAGCGTGTGGTCCGCGCCGCCGACCGCCGGGACGACGACGACGACGACGACGACGACGACGACGAAGACGCCGACGCCGCCGTAGGGCAGCTGTCCGTCGCATCGCGCGGGATGTGCAGTTTGACCTTGAGCACGTCTCCGGTGCTGGTGCCGCAGTACGCGTGCTCGTCCGCGCGGTCGATATCCGCACACAGGATCAACCGTCTGATCTTGGCCAGCGACGCGTCCGCGCGCTGTAAGCACCGGTGCTCCTTGTCCACCGTCCACAGCCGCAGTATGTTCTCGCCCGCGTTCAAAAAGTAATCGTTGTGCATGTGCAGCGTCCTCAGCACCGATGGCTTGTTGATCGCCGGGCCCACGGACGGGTCGATGCACAGAACGTCACCCTTGGCGATGTCGTACGCGACCACGGACCCGTCGTCCTGGCCGCCCAGCGACACCAGGTAGTCATCGCAGCACGTGAACGAGATCGACTGCACGCGTTGCACGTGCGCCGTGTACGACGCGACCACGTTGCCCGTGCCGAAGTCCCATATGTACACCAGCGACAAGACGTAACCCGCGCCCACGTACTTGCCCGACTTGGACACCGCGATCGAGGACACGGTGCTGTCGTGGCCCCTGAAGAACCGCTGCTTCCTCGTGGACCAGTGGTACACGGTGACCGTGTTGCCGAGCCCGTACACCAGGTGCACGCCGTCCGGGTGCAGTACCAACCCGTTTGACGGATTCCCGTCGAACCCGATCAGTGACACCAGTTCCAGTTCCTGTGGTTCCTGCGACCCGTCGTCCATCCCAGACGTTCGCGCCGCAAACTATCCCGGTAAACTTGCGCAGCGGTCGTGCGCCGGTCAACGCGTTTCAAACGTCGGACTATAAACGTTTGACGGTCAACGTGAACCGATAGTCGAATCCAACGCGCGTGGTCAATGCGCACAGAAAACAAACGTGTGTAACTTAATAATATTTATAATGTAATAACGTAATGTATAACGTAATATTTATAACGTGCGTATATACTGTTGTTATTGTTATGTGTTTATAGTACGTGTTATGTGTGATAATGTTACCGATAAGTATCCTAACAACCGGTGACGATTCGACTGGACGATATCGAAGAGAATCATTGCTTTTGATTTGCTTCACGTGTCGACGACGTTATTCGCAACGTGTTGCCGATAAAACGTTGCTTTGGTTGTATCCCAAAACGGCATGCTTTCAATAAAACGCGGTACAAATCTGCACACTTTTCATGCCTTAAAACCACACAATTTTGATTTTTACCTAAAAATACGGTAAGAAAAAACAGCACGGTTTTTTTTTTTTTTTGATTATATTATATAATAATATAACTATTTTTTTATCAACATACAGTAATTATTACAATAATTATTATTAGCCTTATGGAATATATCTTTTTTTATATGTAAAGCCATTATGTTGAATTTTTTGGGACCTAGATAGTCTATGCATTTTTGATCAAACGATTTTTTATAATGTTCCAATCTGATAATCGTTCAAATTATAAAAATTATGTTAAATTATTTGTTTCGATCATATTTTGGGTGAAAATCAGAAGTTTGAGGTTTTCAGCCCTAAAAGCGTGCAGTTTTTGCTTACGGACCTTTTTAGGGTCAAAATCAAAAGTGTGCGGTTTTTGGATTCAACGGTCTGTACGTATCTTGAGCCCGGTCCACATTAAGGCAACATAGATTGACGTGCATTTCGCCTAAAAGGTCCTGTTGCTCCATAGTATTAAGTTTTAAATAAAAGTATTACCTAACAATTCTTCCCGATTTCCTTTATTAGTATTTTTAAGTAAATAATATTTTACATTGAAAGCGTTACCTTATATAATTATAATTATATTCGTTAAAATATACTGTGGTCATACAATTAGGAAAATAAATTGCCATATTTTATATAATAACGAGGTAAAAGTGTATTTTATATACTTATGTTTACACCTATAATTCTGTTTTCTTTTTTACGAGTAATTTGCGATGAGGTTTTTTTTTTTATATAATTTAGAAGAAATGCCATAAAATTCTCATCGATAAATTATTACTTTGATTCTACGATCAATGTCAGTTCATTTTATTACAAATCTATATGCTAAACAACATAACTCGTAATTGAAATATTTTGGTGGTACCTAAAATACTGCATACAATATTCATATTGGGAAACTTTAAGATGAACTTTTTAATAGTTCATTGCAAAGTCAAATAAACTCCTACTAAAATTTTATTAAAATTCTTTATTCTTACAATTGTTTTTGGCTATATAAAAACATTTTATTGTTTAGAGTTTTACCCAATAAACGACTGAGATTTATATTACCGTGGTAATTGTATACCTGCGATTATATTATTTAGTGTCTTTACTTTGATAGTATTATATTATTGTAAATGGTTATAATTTATTTTATTGCATTGCATCGGATGTCGATGTTTTTTATGCTATTGAATATTGACTAAAACTAAGATACATTTGATGTTTTAATATTATTTTTAAACTTTAAATAAACTTAAATTTATATTAAATATATATTAAAATTTTATTAATGTAAATGGGGCGAGTCTATTTAAAATTAACAGTTCTTAAATTTTCATAAAAAAATCACACATCAACTAAATAAAATAGTATTAATGTAAAAAATTAGAACAAAAAAATATATTTTGATTTAGGTAGGTGAACAGTTATAACTTGGAATTAATTAGGCAATACTACTTTTTTAAACCATACATTGATAATCAAGTAAATATGTGTACACATATACATAATAATGAATATGTTTACATGTATTTAATATTTGTACATACAATACGCATATTGAGCATTTTATTAATATATACTTATTATTAAAGAATTACATCATTGATAAACGTATCTAATTTTAATTAATAGGCGTAAAGCACTAAAAAGTGGAAAATAAAATAAAATATATGTTTCCTCTAAAAACGAAAAGTTCAAATTTATTTTAGGAAATGTTTAATTTTTATTTCTCGTTAATCCAAAAAGTTTGTTATATAAATCTACCTTAACGTGTTTGGATTTTAAAATAAGCTTACATGAAAACTGTAATAACAAGTTTAACATACTTTGTAACAAAACGTGAAGTCGATATACGCTTTTTTAAGTTTGTCAAGTTTATTTGTATAATAAAAACATGTTTACAATTTTAACAATATATAATAATAAATATTCATCTCACAACATAATAAGAAGGAGAGATGTAAGAATCACACAGATATGCATAGATACAACATTTACAATAAACATTACTCTTTACCGAGTTCACAAAGATGCACAACATTCAAATAATATTTTGGGCTACTCAAAATGTTGTAATGTCCAGTGTTGTTCTAAGATAAAAAAAATTATCTAGATATAGACAGATACTGTAGAAATTGAATTTATCTAGATATAGATAGATAAAATAATTTTTATCTAGTTATTTATATAAGGCATCAACGTTTTCATCCGTTTGTAGGCGAACTCTTTTGGTCTTGGGTAATGATTGTATTATGTAACGATCCATTTCAAAATATAAAATATTTCACCATTAAAATAAAATTGAAAGTCATAGACAAAATTATGAAAAATATGAAGACGGTCTGACGATAAACACTGAACACGTTGTCGATGAGAGTACGCTGCATACAGTACAAGTTTTTAATAAATAACGGACTTTTTACGCCTAATATTTATTTTGTTGTACAATAATATATAGACACATCAAAGTACGAATTCATAGAATTGGGGTCCGGTAATGACAATTATTTAGATCACATGATTACATGAACAATGGACATAATTTATAATTAAATATGGAATTTAAGGCGGTCGAATGATGATGGAGAACGATCAATTTCTGTGTAGGTACAGCGTAATGCGTATTGTAATATTGCTATTTTCTTAATGACAATTATTTCTGTATTTTAGTATTTATAAACCATCTACCACGTAGCTGCAATAATAACCAGTTTCGACCAATAGTCAGGAGCGAATCTAGGGGGGGGGTTCAGGGGGTCAGGTGAGTCACAGTTAATATTTGTTGACAAAATTGGCCTCTTGGAAATGTTTTTCTCTTTTTAGACCTTGATTTAGACTCTTGGACGGTTGGCCCATCGGAGTTACTTGAAAAATGAATGTCATGTATACTCAAAATTTAAAATTTTTCAATTCATAATTTATATTTTAAATTATATCGTCTAAGTAGAAAGTTAAGTAAATCATAAATTATTGTAATCAAATATTTTTATTATGAATACTAATCCAGTTAAAAATATCTTGTTCGGAAAAAGAAATTAATTATTATCAAATTCCATTAATTTAAACATTTTAAGATACTTTTTGATTTATAATATTTTATTAAAAAAGCTAACAACTAAAAGTCAAAGGTCAGAAATCAAATTAGAAGATTATTATAATATTATATTATATTATATTATATTCAACAAAAAGTCAAAAAATCATTTTAAGATACTTTTTGACTTAAAAAATTTTACTTAAAAAGCTACCTACAAAAAGTAAAAACCCTTTTAAAGAAATATGCATTGCAATTCGATAATATTAAATAACACATAATACTAGATAACAAGGTTATACGTAACAGTTTTTAAAAAGCGCGGCAAAACCAAACGACCAATCAGAAAGTTTCCTCATTTCGTTGATTTTATATACATGAATGTTCTATGTCCAGTTACCAACGTTGTCTGCGAATACCAAACAGTACAGTAGGAATAACGTATGGGTCGCAAACGGCGATGACCGCCACGCTATTTTGATAATCTTATAAGTATAATATACAATCCGACCGCACTGACGGATTGTTTACTGTGTAAGCGCTCTATTGATTATCAACAGATTAATCGATAATATCAATTTCGTAAATCGTTAGTGCTCCATATAACGAGATGCACACACGCGACATTTGCATAAGACTATGCTGTCTCGTTACAATTTGTATGAATCAGATACTGAACTCTATACCTTTCTGCCTCACTGCCTCCATTCATTTCAAATCGTTATCCAAAACTTCCACGCCACTTCACTTACTTATGATGACATATGATGTATTTTTTATTCGAGCATAGACAATGTGCGAATTAGATTGTCAACACTTAATTTTTTTTTATCGATGAAACACATATTCAATTTCAAACGTTCTTTATTTAAAATTGAAATTTATTTTTATTTTACTTACAATTATTTTATTATAAATTAAAATCCCTCGGGAATAAATATATTTTCAATTCTTGATTTAGTATTTTTATCATTGTATACGGCGATTTTTAGCTTATATGACGTGTTAATTACGAATATAAATAAACTTTTCATTTAATTTAATATGAGTTTTATTACTAATACAATAAATATTAATTCTTTCCAGGTTATTATTTTGTATAAAAATCATAATATGTTGTACACGTTGCACAACTGATATTTCGATCATATTTTAAAATTTAGCTTTATGCTTGTAATTTAAAATCATTGTCGAGTTATTGATTGCATTGATATTCTAGAGCAAGGCTTAGGCCAACCGAGTTCCAGAATAAATTGTTAACGGGTGAAATAGGGTGGAAACAGGACGCTACGAAATTCTTGTAAATTTGTTATGTTATTTTTCGAAAATCTGGAGCGAATTCCGAGAGATACTGCTCCATCAACATAATTAAATTAATTGTTTTGTGAGCTTAACAGTTAATACTGTTATAATATTATTATATGTACAAAAAAATTGCTAGACACACTGAATAAATTAAATGTGTGTTGTATAGTTTTTAAA